GAAGATACTGCTCTAGGGACTGGTTGGCACTTTCAGCAGCTCCAATAGACTGGGGATGGTAAGCGGAGGAAAACGAGAGAGAAATACCCATCTCTGAACAAAAATTTCTCCAGAATCTGGAAATGAATTTGCTACCCCTATCGGATACAATTGATATAGGAATGCCATGCAACCGAAACACCTCAGTGGCAAAGATAGAAGCAAGTTCCTTGGATGAGGGCAATTTGACAAGAGACACAAAATGAGCCATCTTAGAAAATCGATCCACTATCATCAGGATGACTCTTTTGCCATTGGAAGGAGGCAATTCAACAATGAAATCCATGGATAGATTGGACCAAGGCCTTTCGGGTATGGGCAACGGGTGCAACAACCCACAAGGAACTCTATGAGAAGACTTCATACTGGCACAAGTAGTACATGCCCGAACATAATCGGTGATATCCTTGCATAAGGAAGCCCACCAAAAATATCTAGAAACTGCTGTTAAGGTTTTAGAAACACCAGGATGTCCAGCAGTTTTGGCGTCATGATATAACGACATAATGTCCCGTCTTTCGGGAACATCAACAAACAGTTTATCAGTAGGTTTCTCACTGGGTGCCATGTTTTGTTTAGCCTGTATAACTTGTAAAAGTAAAGAAGAAATAGAACCGTAGTAGCTATTATTCTGTCTGGTGGAATGACAGGGGTATTATCAAACTCTTGTTTGTCGTTAGTTTCAAATTGTCTAGACAGAGCGTCAGCTTTAGTGTTACGATCACCTTGTCTGTAGGTGATGATATAATTGAAATGAGATAAGAACAGTGACCACCTGGCCTGCCTAGAAGACAATCTTTTGGCTTCACTAAGGTAGGAAAGGTTTTTGTGATCCATACAAAATGAGGATGGGGTCCTTAGTACCTTCTAAAAGATGTCTCCACTCCTTGAGTGCTAAAACAATAGCAAGGAGTTCTCGATTGCCTATGTCATAGTTCTTTTCGGCTTTGGACATCTGTTTGGAAAAGAAGTCACAATGATGTAATGGCTTATCAGGTGATTCTCTTTGAGATAAGACAGCACCTACCCCAATATCCGAAGCATCAAATTCAAGAATATAAGGCAAAGAAGGGACAGGATGCTGTAAAATAGGAGCAGAGGCAAACGTGGTTTTAAGAAATTCAAAGGCCTCAAGCGCCTCTGGGGACCAGACACAAGTATTGCCATCCTTTTTAGTCATGCGTGTTATAGGCGCTACAATAGAAGAAAATCCTTTAATAAAGCGTCTATAAGAGTTAGAAAATCCAAGAAAACGCTGAATGGCTTTTAGTCCCCGAGGTAAAGGCCATTCCATGACAGCGGAAAGCTTCTGGGGATCCATACGAAAACCTTTAGCAGAAATTACATAACTTAAAAACTGTACTTCGGGTTGGTCAAATAAACATTTTTCTAGTTTACAATAAAGACCATTAACAAGAAGGGTTTTCAAGACTGTTTTAACATGCATGTGATGGGTATGTAAACCTGTTGAATATATTATGTCGTCCAAGTACACTATCACAAATGAGTGAATGAACTCTCGTAAGACGTCATTAATAAATTCTTGAAACACTGCTGGGGCGTTACAAAGACCGAATGGCATCACAGTATACTCGTAATGACCACTCCTAGTATTGAATGCAGTTTTCCACTCATGGCCCTTTTTTATACGTATGAGATTGTATGCATCTCTAAGGTCCAATTTAGTAAACACAGTAGCTTGTTTAAGCCTGTCGAATAATTCCGTGATTAATGGTATAGGGTAAGCATTTTTTATAGTGATTTTATTTAGGCCCCTATAATGAATACAAGGTCTTAAATCGCCCTCCTTCTTCGATACAAAGAAGAACCCTACCCCTGCCGGAGAAGAGGATCTCCTTATAAATCACTTTTGTAGAAATTCTTTAATATATTCCTCCATGACAAGATTTTCTTGCGGAGACAAAGGATACACCCTGCCTTTGGGAGGTATAGTGCCAGGCAATATATCAATAGCACAATCGTAGGGTCTATGAGGCGGTAATTTTTCAGTCTCCCTCTTATCGAAGACACATGTACTGAGGAGGTATAATAGTAGACAAAGGAGGAGTAGTAAGAACATTAATAGAATTCAAAGGGGTGATTTTAATTATACAAGACTCTTGGCAGGTTTCACTCCAAGATACTATTTGTCCTGACTCCCAGTCAAAAATGGGATTGTGAGAACGTAACCATGGGTACCCTAACACAATGTGAGAGGAAGGAGAGGTGATGACCTGAAACCGAATGGTTTCTGAGTGTAACATCCCTGTATACATATGCAACAGTTCAGTTTCATGTGTGATAACTGGGGAACATAATGGTCTACCATCTATGGCCTCAACGGCCATGTGTGTCTTCATCTCTCTAATGGATATTTTGTTTTTCCTAACAAATCTAGTCTCTATGAAATTCTCAGCTGCCCCGGAATCAACCAGGGCTAGTTTGTTTCTTGCTATGCAATTATTCTCCAGATGCAGAGAAACAGGGAGGAGTAGTCGATTAAGAGGCAATTTTGGGGACTTAGATATCACACCCAAGGCCAGTCCCCTATATGGCCTTAGGTGCGATCGTTTTCCGGAAGCACGGGACATTCTTTTAGCATATGACCCTTTTTACCACAGTATAGGCAAAGTCCCTCCTTTCTCCTATACAATTCTTCAGCATCAGAGAGTTTGGCAACCCCTAATTGCATGGGTTCCTTCTCTGATACCTTGAAACTCTCAGGATTAGCAACTCTAGGAGTATTTAATGTAACAAAACGTCTATTCCTATTCTTAGTATAGAGTCTGTCACGAATCCTATTGTCTATATCAATGAGATAGTCGATAAGGTCCTCTAATGGGATAGGAAGATCCCTAGCTGCTACCTCATCCAATATAGTATCAGATAGTCCTTCCATGAATGCTGTAGTTAGCCCATTGTTGGTCCAATCTACCTGCAAAGCAATGGTACGAAACTGAATAGCATAATCAGCAACAGACCTAGAACCCTGTTTAATTCTCATTAATGCCCTGGCGGCATTCTTTGACCTTTGAGTTGTGTCAAAGGTTCTACGAAAAGCCATAAGGAAGTTATCGAAATTAAGCACCATAGGTCCATTAGCCTCCCATATAGGATTTGCCCACTCAAGTGCTTTATCAGTAAGTTGTCAGTGGGAAAGGAACGTGGATACATCTCAAAGTGGAATTCCACTTGATTAATGAATCCCCTGCAAGACTTAGCATCCCCTCCATACCTGGGTGGAGGGGTTAAATGTGCAGAAGCATTAGGCATGGTGGATACATCTGGAACAAGGGGTGCAGGAGGAGTTGGTACTGTTACCAGAGTAGTTCGAGATAAGAGTCTCTGGAGGGCCTGAACTATCTGATCCATATGGTGATCCTGCTCTGTAAATCTAGCCTCATGAGAAGCCAATTGCTGACTTAAATCTGCGGAGTCCATGGCCCTATCGTAATGTCACGGTAGTTTACCCCTACACGCAAGATTTAGTACAACAATCGACAGAGCAGATACGACCTACCGGACCTTAGAATGGCCAGACTCGCCTTATAGCAGAGAATAGACAGATTCAAGAACAAGCCAAGGTCAAGGGAACAAAGAGACTGTGAGAACAAAAACTAGCCAAGGTCTGGTACACAGTAGTTAGTAAGCCGGCAAACAAGACAAAACAGGGATAGAGAGATAAACAGAGTCAGATACAAAGCCAAGGTCAAGCACGAAAATCACAACTGAACACAACAAGCGCTAAAGGGAACTGAAACGGAAACCACGATAGGGCAGGGAGTTAAGGGAGAGGTAAGTATAAATACCCTAAACTTTACTTTGATTGGCCCCTGCCATATCCACGCCCCCAAAATGTGAGTGTCTGGGGAATGTGGGATGACAGGGGCCAATGGGAGCACATTTCATCTTTTGGCTCCCACTGCCCCTTTAAGAGCGTGCCCGAGATGCGCGGCACGCTCTTAGAGCTAGGCGGGACACATGACCGCATCTCATGGTCCGTGCCCGCCTTCATTCGAGAGCTTCATGCGGGAAGTGAGGACCTCGGCCGGCCCCCGGGTAAGGTAAGTACCGCTACAGACAAATCCCAACAACATCACCACAGTGATAATAGATGATGCTGATAGAATATCTGCAACCAATTCTAGCCAAATATTTGGAAAGCTGGACTCTACAACCAATATTCTACAACAAATACCCGGGTATTCTACAAACACAACCTCCAGCAATGTATCTAAGGAATGTAAACTTCTTCAGGCCTTTAAAGACTTTGGATTACAATACACTATAGGGACACTATAACTACAGCTTATTGAATTTGTTCTGGTGAGTAGAATCATTACCTTCAGGCTTTTTACTGTAAACACTGTCTTTTCAGAGAAAATGCAGGGTTTACATTACAGCCTAGTGATAACTTCACTGGCCATTCCTCAGATAGCTGTTAAGAGATCCTTCCTGGGTCATGGCTGCCTAAAATGCATCCAAACATTCAATATCTCTTTTTTTTACGAACCATCTTTTACATACAAAGATCACGCTAATGATGTTTTACCATTATAACAATGATCAAAGAGACTGGGAGCATAAAAACTTAAAGACTGTTGGAGAACTTTGGTTTACTAATTTAAAGATGAAATGTGCTACAATGCCAACAATTTAATGGAGAGGGTGTTATGGGCAAATGCAAATATTACAAGTTTTAGCATTTATATTTTATATTTCTTAAACTGTGTACTTTGTCTATAAGAGATATTGCAAACTGACAAGGTATTAGAATGAAACAAATTGTTTTTCATACAATGTTTCTTTAATAAATTACCTCTTACCCATATTCAGTTAATAAGATGTTCAGACATTAGGAAGCCATCTTGTACCAAGTTAGTGGAAATTCCCCAAATCCGGGAATTTCCCATGACATGTGCACTTACGTTTTAGTATAAACAATAGATAAGATGTTCAGACTTTAAGACTCCATTCTCAATGCTTTCCTATGGACGCTGGCGTCTTCTCACTGTGAAAATCATAGACAGCCACTAGAGGCTGAATTAACCCTAATGTAAACATAGCAGTTTCCCTGAAACTGCTATGTTTACAGCAGAAAGGGTTAATCCTAGATGGACCTGGCACCCAGACCACTTCATTAAGCTGAAGTGGTCTGGGTGCCTATAGTGGTCCTTTAAGGATGGCAGGAGTGCTATGCCCTCCTTGGGGACCCTGCTCTAAACGCCGGCGTGCGGCATAGCACGTCCACGCCGTCCAGGGGACTTACCTGCTCGTCGGTGATCGAGATGGGGGGACTTACCTGGCATCCCTGGGCCATGTGATCGCGAGACCTTACAATCACATGGACGGAATAGCCGCCCATAGCAGTGCCAGCAGGGGGAGTGCCTGGAATGACAGGTAGTCCCCCTGCTGCCTGTAATAAAGTTTAAAAACAGTCTGAAAATAAATAATATACACTTAGATCTATATTTACCTATATATAAATAAAAATTATTTAAAAAAATTATATATATTTATATAAGTAACAAGGGCTTGCATTCCTGGTTAAATTCTTAATGCCCGGTGCTGGTCTGGCAAAATCATGAAGATATAGTAGAAAGGACCGCACTCCAAGGTCTTTGTGATAGTTTTCAAATAAAATGTAACTTTTATTTAATCCATATAAGTCAACGTCAACGACAAAATTTGATTTTCTTGTCCTGATGAAAGCTCCATGGGGGCTGAAACGTTGACTTTTATATGGATTAAATAAAAGTAAAATTTTATTTGAAAACTATCACAAAGACCTGAATTTGCTAGCACTATATTTAACCTTGTAACTTTCCAAGACACCATAAAACTTGTGCATGGGGTTACTGTTTTACTTGGGAGACTTCTCTGAACACAAATATTAGTGTTTTAAAACCATAAAATGTATTACGACGATGATATCAGTGAAAGAGAAATTTATTGCATTTTTCACACACAAACGGCACTTGCACTGATGATATAATTCTGGTGATACGTTTTACTGTTTTGAAACACTTCAGCGAAGTCTCCCGAGTACAACAGTACTCCTCATGTACAGGTTTTATGGTGTTTTCAAAAGTTACAGAGTCAAATATAGGGCTTGTGTTTTAGTTTTTGGTTGGTTATGTTGCCTTTAGACCCTATGGTAGCCCAGTAATAAGAATTACCCCTATGATAGCATACCATTTGCAATAGTAGACAACCCAAGATATTGCAAATGGGATATGTCAAGTATTTTTTAGTAGCCACTTGGTCACAAACACTGGCCAAAATTGGCGTTCAAATTCTTTTTTTTCCCTTTTTCACACACAAACAAATATTAACCTACATTTGGCCAGTGTTTGTGACTAAGTGGCTACTAAAAAAAGACTGGACCTTGGGTTGTCTACTATTGCAAATGGTATGCCATCATGGGGGTAATTCTCATTCCTGGGCTACCATGCGGTCTCAAAGGCAACGTAACCAGTCTGGCGAATTTCAATGTGAAAAAAACTGAAAAATGTAACGTGCTTTATTTGATGCTGTAACTTCCAAAAATGCCATAAAACCTGTACATAGGGGGTACTGTTTTACACGTGAGACATCGCTGAATACAAATATGTGTATTTTATTGCAGTAAAAGCAAACAGTATTATGACATTCACAGTTAAAATGTCACGTAGAACTAAAAAAATAAAATTATTTCTTAATTTCTAACATTGTTTTTATATTTTATTCATATTAAATGATGTTTCATACCTAGTTATTTGATGTTAAATGAAAGCCCTGTTTCCCCTGAATAAAATTATATATAATAAGTGTGGGTGCACATAATATGAAAGAGGCGAATTACGCCTGAACAGACCTATGGTCAAATTCGTGTACATTTGGCTCAGTCCTTAAAGGGTTAATGATTGCACATTGTGTTGACACTGCACGGAACGTGCCCTCTCACTCTTGTTTCCGGACGGAGGGGCTTTGAAGAGCAGCAATGCTCACATGCTTCAACTTCCGGTGTGTTGTAGTATCCCTTCCCCCAGGCCAGTAGCTCCTCCCTGTCTCCTCCCCAGGACATGGCTGCCTCTGTGTGCTGTCTGCGTGCAGGTCAGTGTTTTTGGAGTGGTGTCAATGCTGTCTGTGTCCTCTGGCTGAGCTCACACCATGAGTCTGCATGCACCTTCCCATGCTACCATTCTGCTGCTATATAGTGAATGGGGATTTTACATTACTTGTTATTGCTCCCCTTTACATGGCAGGCATGTGATGTACTGCAGCAGTTGTGTGACCATTTAATTGACACTACAGGGGTTTCCATTCATTCATATACTCCCATCTAGTGTTAAGGCTTGAGATGACCTTTCTTTAAAAACTTTTGGTCTATTAATTATTTCCCTTACTCTGCCAGTATATAATAAACTATCTGCCAATGAAAAGATAATTTTTCATGTTACAGAAATAGTTCAACTTATTTTCATACATGACCTATGACATTGCAGTAGAGGTCACATGTGGACATGCTGTCTTTTTTTTTATTTATTTTTTTATTTAAATCTGTGAAATGCACCGTAATCTTTATAAAGGATATGTTTACATTTTCAGCCTGATTAGACTGGTGATTGAAAAGCCTCTAGAAGTGGGGATGTGCATGAAGTATGGCATACAATGTATGATTATTTAAATCAATTTACCAAAAACATTTATTCTGGACAGGACATTTTTTCCTGGTGTTATAAAAATTAAAAAGGTTTATTGACTCTAAATATACAGTGCACTGTTTTAATTAAATTGAGCTTGTTAGACTAATTCACTAAGGAAGAATACATAAGTGGTTATGGTGCTGGCAGTATCCCTTTAAAGAGGAAGCAGGCTTATTAGCTAAACTTTAGAATTGTATGTATACAATCTAGTTGTGTGTGTATACAATCTAATATTTTTATCTAAAATTTGTAATTCAGATTCAATGCTTAATGAATAGACATTTAAAATTATAGTGAACTGAAATCTAAAAAGTAAAATATAAGGAACAGTTGACTTAGAAATGCATTATTCAACTCATCTGTAGTAACAAACTGACTATTTTAGCAAAATCTTATTTTGTAAACAAATAAACTATTCTGTTTTTAAATGGATAATGCTTGCCCGTTGTATGTTCTGGTGGTAGAAGCCCTTTGTCCATTTCCTCATTCATACTATGCTATGCTATAGCTATGGTCATTTACTCCTCCATATAATTTAAGTATAATGACCTTCTGTTCATACCCTTCCAAGTTGGCATCTAGTAAAAAAAGAGAAGAGCATAAGCATTTAAAAAAAAAAAACCAGAATTAAAGGACCACTATAGTGGCAGGAAAACATACTCTTTTTCCTGGCTCTATAGGGTCCTTGGGTCCCCCTCACACTCTGGGTCCCCCTCCCGCCAGGCTCTAGGGTGAGGAAGGGGTTAAATTCCTACCTTTTTCAAGCCCTGGGCTCCCTCGGCGCTGGGGAATCTCCTTCTTCTGCCGTCATCGGCTGAATGTGCAGGCACGGCAAGAGCCGCGCGCGCATTCAGCCAGTCTCATAGGAAAGCATTCTCAATGCTTTCCTATTGACGCTGGCGTCTTCTCACTGTGAAAATCACAGTGAGAAGCGCGGAAGCGCCTCTAGCGGCTGTCAATGAGACAGCCACTAGAGGCTGGATTAAAGGAACACTATAGTCACCTAATTTACTTTAGCTAAATAAAGCAGTTTTAGTGTATAGATCATTCCCCTGCAATTTCACTGCTCAATTCACTGTCATTTAGGTGTTAAATCACTTTGTTTCTGTTTATGCAGCCCTAGCCACACCTCCTGTGGCTATGATTGACAGAGCCTGCATGAAAAAAAAAACTGGTTTCACTTTCAAACAGATGTAATTCACCTTAAATAATTATGTCTCAATCTCTAAATTAAACTTTAATCACAAACAGGAGGCTCTTGCTGGGTCTAGCAAGCTATTAACATAGCAGGGGATAAGAAAATCTTAATTAAACATAACTTGCAATAAAGAAAGCCTAAATGGGGCTCTCTTTACATGAAGTGTTTATGGAAGGCTGTGCAAGTCACATGCAGGGAGGTGTGACTAGGGTTCATAAACAAAGGGATTTAACTCCTAAATGGCAGAGGATTGAGCAGTGAGGCTGCAGGGGCATGTTCTATACATCAAAACTGCTTCATTAAGCTAAAGTTGTTCAGGTGACTATAGTGTCCCTTTAACCCTAATGTACAGTTCAGAATATTTTTTTTTTCTGGGTTTCCTCCTCTAAAGACTAGGTGCGTCTTATGGTGAGGTGCGTCTTATGGAGCGAAAAATACGGTATATAGCGCCAACAGATTCCGTAACGCTTTACAATATTATTAGAGGTGGGATTTAACTATAAATAGGACAATTGCAAGAAAACTTACAGAAACGACAGCTTGAAGAGGACCCTGTTCAAACGAGTTTACAGTCTATAGGAGGTGGGGTATAAAACACATTAGGACAGGAAATGGCAATCAAATAAGGTAGGAGTGAGGGAGAGCTGGAGGAGAGAGTAGAGTGCTGCCCTTTAGGAGAGAGCAAGAGACAGGTATGTGAGGCAGAGATTAGTCTGGGAGGCCATAAGCTTTCCTAAAGAGGTGGATTTTAAGGCACTTCTTAAATGATTGAAGACTAGGGGAGAGACTCATGGCGGTAGGCAGGCTTTTCCATAGGAAGGGAGAAGACCTGCAAGTGCGAGTTGGCCGTACGGGTGCGAGCAGCGGACAGAAGGTGGTCACGGGAAGAGCCGAGAGACCGAGAAGGGGCATACCTATGGATCTGTGAGGAGATATAAGAGGGGCTAAGATTATTCAGTTATTTTCTAGGTATGGATTAGCACTTTGAATTGATTCCTATAGAACACATATAAATCACTTCAACTTGCTTTATGTGTGAAGAACATCTACTCTGTTTTTCTCCTTTGTAAATTAACCCTGTTACACCCCTACTGGCTGTCAATCAGACAACCAGTTGTTTTGCTTCCTGGTTTATTTAGCTCTGTGGAGCTAAACTCAAGGCAGGCAATTGCCCAGAGCAAAAGCACTGCAAAGACTTATCATTGAGCAGCATTGGGAAGTCTGTGATTGGACAGCCACAGAAAGTCTGGGCAGGGCTGGTGCTACCAATAGGCAATACAGACACTTCCCTAAGGCACCAACCTCCCAGTTCAGGGCTATGTACAGGAAGAGCGGATCTCTTTTCAGCTAAATCTGC